GGGGAGAAATAGAAGATCGACACAGTCTCAACTGACGGCTAAGCGGGCGAAGCCCGCTGATTTGAGAGTTGGATGCCAGAAGGTTCGCACTTGTAGAAAGTGTGGCAAGATACATTAGGGGTGTTTCCAAGCAGGGATTTACTACAAATGTGGCAAGAAGGGGCATATGGCAAGGGATTTCCCCAAGGGATTTTCTGTTTGCTTTCACTGCAACCAGACGGGCCATCGGAAGGCCCAGTGTCCCCAGCTCACCCAGGGATCAGCCCAGATTGCTATTCATGCTGCTTTACATGTTACTGATAGCCGGACGGGGAAGTCCGAGCCTTCGAGGGCTCGTGGGAGAGCATTTCAGCTGACAGCGGTAGAGGTCCGCGTCGCGCCTGATGTTGTTGCTGGTACGTATCTACTTATTTTATGTTGTTTTGAGATTTGTTTATGCTTACATTGTGTTGTGTATATGTACTTTTCTTGTGAGTTTTGTACCTGCTTTGATGTTATTTGACTCGGGTGCGACTCGATCTTTTGTGTCCTTATCCTCTAGTTGTCACATTAGTGTCAGGCACAAGGCGTTGAGTCGACCATTGAGGGTTTCTATAGCTGACGAGCATGCAGTTTTTGCCACTGATGTATTTCAGGGATGTGTATTAGAGATTTTCAGTGTTGAGTTCCCGATAGATCCGGTGTCGATAGCAATGGGTGATGTATGTATCATAGTGGGAATGAATTGGTTGAGTCGGTTTGGAGCTGTGATTGACTGTGAGTGTCAGATGGTGACCATACGAGACCCTAGTGGGGGAGTGTTTACTGTGAAATTACCTTAAAAGGTAATATCAACAAGAAAATCATCTTATATCTAACTATTTTTGTGTGTGTATGTGTGTTTGTAAAAGGACGTGACGCTTGCTACACTTCAGTAAATCTGAATTCCCCCCAAAAAAATACAAACAACAGGGTGGTTAACTTGTTACAACACTGATCAACTAATGGGACTGAAGTATCTTGATCCAAACTAGAATATTTTGTGGTATGGGATATATCTGATTACAAACCGAGAAAAGAACACAAAACTGAAGGAGATGATAAATAGAAACAACATGGAAATCCAACACAAAAACAAAGAATCAAATATGAAGAAACACTTTTGTACCTTCTTTTGGAACAATAGGAAGGCGAAACCTAATGAGAGCCAAAGAAGAAATGAATAATAGAAAACCAGATTGGATACAAATCATTGTGTTGCGGTTGGAGGTTGAGTTACGGTTGACAGAAATACAAACAGTAGCATATCATGATTGGGGGGTTTTGTTATCGGCATAGTGCGACAGGAAAGAATGGTTGGAGAAGATGGTCGGAGACACTTGGCGGTGTGAGATCGGAGGATAGGTGGTAGTGCGATGCTGGTGTGGGAGAAAGGATGAGTGGAAATTATTTATTGAAGGTTTTTTGTATTCGGCTGAGAGAAATGATGCGTTTTATACATATCAAACAATCTTATTTGGGCATGCATAAATGTGGGTACCTAACATTATTTACCCTTACAGTTATATTCACTTTTCCCATATATATATATATATATATATATATATATATATATATATATATATATATATATATATATATATATATATATATATATATATATATATAGGCTTAGGTTATTATATTCAAAGTAATTATTGTGTTATTGCATTCATAAATGTGGGTCAATCATTTTACTTATTTTAAGAAAGTGATTAACATATATTACTGAATTAAATATAATTGAACAATACCATCTAATTTAACTAGAAGAGTATTTTAGTCAATTAATATATATTTATTAAAGGAAAATTTACATATTCTAAGGGATCATAGATTCTATTAATTTTAAAAATCTGTTTTTACAAATTATAAGGTTTTTAATTCGGACATTCTGGAACCATAAAATAATAAAAATTTGCATAAAAATATTCTAGAACCATAAAATAATAAAAATATTCTTGAACATATTTCTTGATCATGACTTTAAAAATTTCTTGATCATGACTTTAAAAATTTCTTGTAGAATAACAAAATTCTTGAACTATCAATTGAAGAATTAAAACAAAAATTACATTAATTTTTATAGAATACATGTAACAATTGCTAAGAATTACATTTATTGTTAAAGAATAAAACTAAAAAAACTTTCAAATCTGGAAAAAAAACATCAAAATCTAACAAATACTCTAATACAATCTAAAAGAATAATGTTGCTATAAGACGCATCATTCAATTTTCGTGGTCCATTCTTCAAGCACCAGCTTCTGTTAAAACAAATCCAATGAATAAATTAGTGAGAAAATATCCATATTCCATACCAACATAATTGTAATTCGTGAGTCCATTCTGATAGAAATGGAATTCATTTACTAATAATTATATTAATTCGGAGAATACTAATAGAATATGTTCATGATTATCATAAAAAACATTCTTTTCCGATAGAATACTATAAATGAAGAAATACCATTCAGTTGAAGAATTTTAGCAAGCGTTTGGTGTGCATCAAAACAACTTTCAATTTCTTATAAAAATTAGAAAATCAGAACAATTACACCTTGAAAGAATTAGACAATAAACCTAAACGCATCCAAAATTTCTTAGATTTCTGTCAAACAATCAACCCAAAACATCCATTCTATATATTGAAATCAAATCAAATTAAAAAAACCCATTTGAAGATTAAACTATATTGGTTTACAGTATATCAATTTAAAGTACACCTGCAAACAAGAACACGTTTGTGTTTCCTTTCCTTCTCTGTCAAACACCCAATCCAAACACCCATTGGTTTCTATCAAATGAAACAAACCCAAACACCCCAATGATTTCTATCTAATAGTCAAACAAAAAGAAAAGGGAAGAGAACATGTTTTCAATCGAAGCAATACCCCTCACAACCCCTCTTTTTCTTCCGTCGAGCAAACCCACCGAGGACCTCGACTTCTTCAAGTCTGCTGATCACGACACCCCACCATTTTCCTTCGTCCCTTCAACTTCGTCAAACCACAGAGACGACCTCCCTTGTCTCTGGTTGAAATCACTCCTCCTATATTTGCACCTCTGATTCGGAGGAGAAAGAGCGAAATGTCGCTGTCTCGTGCCTTCTTTGGTTCGACCAAAAACTGGAGATGGTCACTTAGTTCCAATCGATTACCACCACCAAGACCACCTCTGTTCGATGCTTGATCGCTCGATTCTTCCCTCTCCTGATCTATGAAGAAGATGATGAAGGGCAACCCCACAAAGGGTCGCTGGTGTCGATGGATCCCCTCACCCTTGTGGTTAATCAATCACTATCGACCCACCAATCTCCATAATTCGGCGGCAACTGCAATTGATGGTGGTGACGATCTTCTGTTTTGGAGCTAGGGTTGGGGAGGATCGAATGGGATAGAATACAATATTGTTTAATGCTTTAAAAAGGGATAAATGTAAGCCAAAATAATTACCATAATTATAGGAGTGTATTTGTAGAAATTATTTATCAAATTACTAAATTATCCTTATTTATTTGTTTGATTATTTATTTAGTTTTTAAATTTTGATTAGCCTACATTTATACATACAATAACACATTAATTATTTTAAACACCTGAAACTCTCTCTTTCTATATATATATATATATATATATATATATATATATATATATATATATATATATAATATTTGGACAGAGTATATACATGTGGAGAGAGATATATAGATTTAGACAGAGGGTGGGTCGGGTTTGTGACTGTCAAATCTACATTCTCTTTCACTCTCTCTCCTCTCTCACTTTCTCTCTCTCTAAATTTTAGAAGCAATTTCTTTCACAGATTCATTCAATCTTCCATATTTGTTCTGTTCAATTCCCCTGTTTTGGTGATTATAATGCTCCCAAAATTTCAAGGTATGAACTATTCTTATAATTTATTTTTATTGAATTTTTTATGTGTATATATAGTGTGAAGACGCAGATTAAACAAACTTTTAATGTTTTTGAACTTTTCTGAGCTTCCCTTTGATGCGTTTCGCCAATAGTTGACGAAATATTACTCAAAATCTTTATCTTATTGAGTCTTTTTCGATAATAAAAAAAGGAAAATATTTGTTTACACTGTTCTAGCTGTATATACAGAGTTTTACGTAATACAATGATTTATAAATTAAAAAGAAAACTAAAATTCCGTTCAAGATCTTCAAGCAGTGTTCCTTTGATTTTGGTTTTAATGCTTTTTCTTATTCTGGGGTTGGAATGGGTCATGATTACATTAGGCTTTTTCTGAAGTTTATTTGCTATTTTAGGAAGTTATGCCTCTGCAAAATTGAAGCTTTTATTATGTACGACTTCTTTCTTTCTTCCCTTTTTATTGTTTTTCCCTACATTTAATTGTTAAATTTTGTCCTTGTCTTCTTCTTCTCCAGAATTTAGATTATTATTTTTATATATTTTGACACCCACTAGCTGTAAAAATTATAACTTTTGGTATTTAAAGTAGTACACATTTGGTGTTTTTGTTGATATCTTTCTTTGTGTGTGCATTTTTAGTTCTTGAGATTCTTCTTTTTTGAAGAACTCTAAACTTTAACCCTTTTGGTGGGTATTTCTTTCTGAGTGCATTTGGGAAAAACAGATTTTCCCTTTTATGGAAACGGGATCTGCTTTTTTACATCTCATCATACCCTAATTTATACCTTCAATAATAATCAAATATCAGCCCAAAAGAATTCAATGATTAATAATTACAACCCAATTTCTCCTAAAAATTTATGCTTTCTTCTTCTCTTTAGATTTTAAGGTCGAACTTGAATGTCTTGATCTTCTGATTTTTGACATTTTTACGCATTTTTAACATGAGTTTTTCTTCTCTATGATACCATTTTAGATTTGTACTTCATAGTTAATTTCTTCGTATCAAATTCAAAATTGAAATTGCTATCGTTGACTCAAAAGTCAAATGTTTGCAGGATTGTAATTGATTTAATGACAAGATTGATGGAGGAAGGCGATGCATATGGAGGAATGGGGATTCAGTTAGATGGGAAAATTTCGCAAACATTTCAAAAGAGTTTTGTTCAAGTTCAAAACATATTCGATCAAAACAGATTGTTGATTAATGAGATCAATCAAAATCTCGATTCGAAGATTCCTGATAATCTGGGTAGAAATGTGGGTTTGATTAGAGAACTCAACAACAATATACGAAAAGTGGTTGATCTTTACTCTGATCTTTCATCTAATTTTACAAAATCCATGGATGTTAATAATTCATCTGAAGGGGATTCAAGATTAGATTCCAAAAAGAGGAGTAGGCTTTCTTAATTAGATTAAAAAAAAAAAAAAAGCCAATTCCTTTTATGTTAATCAAAGATGATATAAACTATAAAGGCTTGTAATTTGTAAAACACATGCATTCAAAGTAGTAAAACCGCTGATGATTTGTTGTGCACTTTGCTTTTTTCTTTTTATTTATTCAATATTATTGTTTTTGTCTCCAACTTTTGGTTGAATTTTTTGGAAAAAGGTTTTGATGATTTGTATGAGGAATACTTTGCATATACATCTCAACTTTTTCTGCAAAGATGTTTTCAACATAACAAACCAAAAGAAAAAGAATAAAAAAATAATAATAATAACTGCTTTTTATATGCTTTTGATTAGTTTATCTGAATATTAGTTATGTTAAAAATAAGTAATCTTATCTTTTTTCAATAGAATAGTTTAAAATAACATATGATTTTAAATATTAAACGTAATTCGACTTATTTTCATTTTTATTAAACCATAAAATTAAATTTTTGTTTCCAAAACATATATAATTCAGTTATAACTATTTTTACGGTCAAAATTATATTATTATATCAAAAATAGCCTAAGGTTTATTTAAAAGAAAAACAAAATTACAAGAACTATTTTTAGGATGTTGGTTCATGCTCTTTATATTGTTAGTTGCTTAAGTGATCAAAACATTGAAAGAAAACTTGATTCGTTGGCATCATTCAAGGGTTATTTTTGTCCACACATGATCTTTCATCCTGATAATATATTTTAAACTATTAATAATATGTTCTACTTAGCTTTTAATTATTTTTATTTTATTTTATTAATATGTTCTATAGTCTATATACTCAACTCAATGTAGGCATGTTCTTTCCACATTCAATATCCCCACCCCTTTTCTTTACCGATTCTTACTTTCTACAACTCAACACGTATTTTATATTACTGTCATTATTATTATATACGATTAAGTGTAAAATGTGTATTAAAATATGAAACTTTGGGTAAGTTTTATTCCATATTATATATTTTTAGAATTACGTTCAAATACTTATATTGTCGGTCTATATTTATAATTACATAAAAGACTATTGTTTTAACTAAAATATACTTTTCATAATCAGATTTTATTCAAGTCTCTTAAAAGTTTTTGAATATTTGAATATAAGTTTATAAGAAATTGTAAATACAAGACGAAATTCTGCTCGCTATACAAAAAAATAAATAAATTAATTAAATAAAATGAGAAAGTATAAAATAATATGGTTGGTGGATCAATAGTTGGATGCCGCTCCCACAAATACATCCTAATTTCATAACCTAGGACTAGCCTATGCATCCAACAAATAAATTAGTTTATAGTGGTAGCGTGACATTGTTCGGTAAATTTATATATTTTAAAAGATTAAACTATGTAAAAGAATTTCAAACAGCGAAGAAATATATAAATAATAATGATGCGAGAAGCTAGAAAAATATTAATAGTACAATTAGTAAATGGGAACCAATAGAATCATCCTAAGCCAAACCATTTAATCTAGTTTTATGTTTGATTCAATTAAAAGAGAGCTTTTATGTTTGATCCTATTAAAAGAGAGTAATGGGATATCTGCCTTTTTCAAAAGAAAATGCTTTAGAATATTGAAAATATGAGAATTGAGGGCTTTTCAAAATTTCCACAACACCGAGTAGATCAAGGCAAATCTTAGCTTCGCATGCCTGTTACCACCTACTCTAGACTCGAGCAAGAGAAGATGATCCAACCTATTTGTCGGAGACGAATGCAACATCCCACTCCAAGAAAAAAAAAAAAAAAAAAACAGTTCCAAATGGTCATCGAGAAATGACAACCAAAGAAAAAATGACCAATTTCCTCCTTCGACGAGTTGCAAAACTTACAAAGTGGAAGAAACATTTACACCTCAATGAGAAAGATTACGGGTTAGGTGGGTTTTGTTTTGGAAAAACGCCAAACAAAACAAGTTATTTTAAGAGGCATCCATCTAACCCAACTAAAACCAACAAGTTGTTGTCCATAAACAATCTCGTCCATCAGTTTACTCAAGAACTGAACTGAGAAAGTCCTCGGGGCCTTGCCTAACCAGTTCCAGTAGTTTAAACGAACATGAGCATAAATTATTGTCCATTTAGTTAAATGAGCGAACAGAAACATTGTTCAATTATGTTCGTTAATGTTTTACGTTTTATGTTATATTTGTTCATATAAGTTCATTTTATATTTATATATGTTTAATTATGATTGATTACATTACTATAATTTACTTTTGTTTATGTTCATATATGTTCAATTATGTTTTTTTTATCTCCGTTATTTTATGTTCATTTAGCATGTTCACGAACATGAACAATGTAATCTGTTAAACGAACGAACATGAACAAAATAATCCGCTTGTTTATCTGTTTATGTTCGTTTATTTGTTCGGCTAACTTAAACAAATGAACATGGACAACTCCTGTTTGTGTTTGTTCGGTTCGTTTACAACCCTTCTAGCAATAAATCCACCAATTTGATAACTTTCATGCCCCTTCTAATATTATTTTTCCAAGCCCAACCCAAATGCAAACCAACATCCCTATTGCTCCATTCAAGAATTGAGTCCTTGATTAAGCAATTCTTGTTTGATTCGATGTCATAAGGACTCAAGTATTTGTCTTTAAGGGTTTGACTCCCACACCGCTTGTACTTCCAAAAGAAAGTTTGACTTACAACACTAATACTTCTTTTTAAAAACTAGATAAAGAAATACTTCATTCTTTAAAACCAACATTTATTTAGGAAATCGCAAGCCAAGTTCCAGTTAAGCTAAATTTAGCCAAAGATTTCTCATTAACACATACCATACAATCACATAGCATACATACTACCGGGCAATTCTGGGGCGCCCGTCCTACCCATGTCAAGCCATTATGGGGTGCTGACCTACCCATGTCATGCCATTCTGGGGTGCTGAACTACCCATGCTAAACTATTCTGGGGTGCTGACCTACCCTCCGGTCTATCTCAACCGAACACGGGGACTATTTCACCCCTTACTACTAACACATAACATCATATCATAATCATGCTGTTAGACATATCTGGGGTGTCCGGCCTACCCATTGGTCCTAATGACCGAATCGGGGACTAGTCTAGCATACTCACATATCTAGTAGTCTAGCATACTCACATATCCAACAATCAGACTAGATAGTTATCACAAAGATAACCATCCTAACTAACAATTACTAGTGGGCCGGCATTGGTGCCTTAGACCCACTCCTACTGGAAGGTAACTCACCTCGATATCGTGTAGTGTCTGAACTGTACTCGGCGTGAAGGTCGGCTCTCCTCGACTCCTCAATCCCTACACGACAACCCTCAATTCATAAAACAGAACATACAACCCTAACCAAGGTCAATACCAAAACAAGGTAGAGTCAACATTGATCATAGTCAACACCTAGTTGACCTGACTCGCCGAGTTGCTCTACCAACTCGTCGAGTCCATACTCCACTAACCCAATCCAACCCCGAATCCACTCATCGAGTCTAGAAAGAACTCGCTGAGTTCTCCTTTATTTAAACCATCGGTTCATCTTCATCCGACTCGCCGATTTCTTCCTTGAACTCGGCGAGTTCATCTCCCTCATAAGAACGTGTCCAGTATATGACTCGTCGAGTTGTATGAACAACTCGTCGAGTCCATCTTCAAAGATTGGGAGATTGCCATGGACTCGTTGAGTCTGCTCATATACTCGTCAAGTCCCATGATTCCTAGGTCCCTTTTCGCATCTAAACATCTATGGGACTTTCCTCCCTAACAACTGGTACATCCACAGAAAGGATTTGGTGGTCATTACACTGCGACTCGCCAAGTCCCAAGAACAACTCGGCGAGTCCATCCTTGACCAACATTATACAGTCGATTTAGATGAGCCTTAACACCTCAAAACCATAGATCTGGCCCCCTAATGTCCATTTCATACGTAAAGCTCCAAACTTGGTGCACATGCATGGGGGCTTTGGCTCAAAAAGGCATAAAAAGTGCTCTACAAGATTCATGGGGCTCTCATGGCCATAAAGTTGGTACCTTTATGCCATGAGACCCTTCCAATGACTCAGATTTGAAGTTAAGACCCCATATAACACTCCACAAATCCGAATATGGCTTGGAAAGCCCTAAATGTGTCCAAAACCCAAGTTTAAAGATGAATAAACACATAGAAGACCAAGACAGGGGCATTTTACCTTGATTGTGCTTAAAATGGAACTAGATCTCTGAATCTCTAAGCCCCAACTTGAACTCTCAAGCTCCTTTCTTCTTCTTCAAGCTTCACAAACCACCACCAAAATGGCCTTAGAACACCCAAAAACAGCTAAGGTTTCGATACACAACTTTCTGGGAGTGATAAGGGAGATGGAGGCTAAGATAAGGTGTGTTAAATAAGGTGAAAACCCTCATATTTAGGGTTTCACTCAACCAGCACCTACTCGCCGAGTCAGTCCCCCAACTCATCGAGTAGGTTACTTAAACTATCTGCGAGTCACGAATCTACTCGACGAGTTGGGCCTCCAACTCGTCGAATCCCAGGGAAAAACACAAAATACTTGAATAATAGGCATACTAGGAATAAGGTGTTACAATGCAGTTTCCTTAGCCAAGGAACCAAAGGATCATGGGAGGTCCAGATACATCGACAGGAAATATCACTTCATAAGACACAAGATAGAAGGACTCCTCGTGCGAAAGAGGGTATCATCATATGAGAGTCAGGCAAATCCCTTCAATAAGGGACTGAGTAGGGTTAAGCATTTACAGCATGTGAGGCACATTGGGCTGAGGGATGATATTAGTTTTAATGATTAGATAGCTTTCAAAACTTATAATAGTTAAAATGTAATTGACATTTGATGCTTAAATAAAAGGTGCTTTTTATTTACTAGTATGGTACTGTCTTGTGTCAATCATTTACTATTGTTTCATTTTGCATGTTTTAACTTCCATAATAATTGGATTATTGAAACCATCCACAATCGACCA